TGCTATTTGTTTCTCAATAAAATTATGGAAATAAAATAAAAAAAAAGAGTCATGTTTTCCATGAGGCAATATTCCCCATAAATGAAAATCTAAGCTGCTGGTGCTTTAGCTAAGAATTTCTCATTTCCCTTTTGTTTTTTAGGATGAAAGATTGGAAAAAGTGGACCTTTGAGAGGAAATTCTACAGACTTCTAAGTTGGTGAAGGAACTTCCAGCATCACTTGGATACTCTGGGTAGGAGGAACTGGAGAAGATGATATTTTTGAGCCTCTGGAGGGCAGTGATTAACAGCAGAAGCAGAAAGGCTAAGAGGCTGAGGAAGATGGGCACATAGATGTAGACATTCCATAGATGGCCAGAAGAAGAGTCCACTAACATAGACAGTGATGTGGGATGCAGCTCGAGGAAAATTCTATTCTCCACACTTTCCAAAAGTCCAGATGCCGAGTGAGGCTCTGACATCTTTACAGAGGGTGAGAGATGAAGAAATATATAACCCATCAGATTTTCATGGAGAGGTTGAAGAAGGCAGAGCCACCACTGTGTTTGTCACCATGGCATCAGCGGAAATTTCAGGCTGATAGGTCCGCACAACCAAATCCTTGGTTTTTAAATAAAACCAGCAGCAGCAGATAGGGTGCTCATCACTGCTGCAGACCTCTGACCTTCTGGGTGCTGTGGTGACTCTGCCTCTGGGATGCGCTCAGGTCCCCAGGACCCTGCCTTTGGGATGCGCTCAGGTCCCAAGGACCCTGCCTCTGTGGTGCACTCAGGTCCCCAGGAACATAGGGCTCTGGGGTGCAGCGGGCACAGAGTCAATTTTTGTCTCTAACTTGAAGACACAGAAATGCAGATTAAGTAATTTTTCCTATGGTGTTTGTGGGCCAAGATCTGTCTTTTTAGCTTGGAACAAATGTCACGAGCAGACTGGGAACCGCAGCAGGAGTTAATAAGGGTCGTGTCCTCAGGTGACTGTGGATCAACTTTAGTATACTTAATTGGGATCACTACTCTTAATTATTAAAATTTTATCTAAGTATTAAGTATCTTGAAATAGAAAGTGTGACACGAGAACTGTCTTTTCTTACCAATGTGGACATTCTAGTAGTTGGATCCCTGTAGCGTGTTAACAAACAATAGTTATAGTTTTGCAGAGAAAATTTGACATCAATGGCGCACACAGAAAGTTAGCATTTGAGAGATGACCTCATGTTGGCTTGATATGAACTTCTTATTACAAATATCTGGAGCATAAGATAAAGGCATAGACAGGAGGAGGCATTACCATAGGTGGTAATCCCAGCACTCAGATGATTGAGACAGGAGGATTGATGCAAGTTTTAGACCAGCCTGGACTACTCAGTGAGCTCAAGCCCAACCTGAGTTGCATAGTGAGATCCTGTCTCAAAAAGGCAATATAACAAAATTAAATAATAAAATAAAATGAAAGGCATATGTTCAAATCTGAAAGAAAATATTATGTTTTATATATCACACATTTAGAAGGCATGAATACATAAAGCAACACTGAGCACTCTGTTTTACAAGTGGGTCATAAGCTGAGTAGCTATTGACAAAGCTGCACCAGAATTTAAAATCTAATAGTCTTTTCCTCTTACACTGGATATTAACATTCTGGTGCTGAGACTCAGGCAGAGACCAACAATCTCATGAATCTGAGGCTTTCTCTGATTTCATCACAAATACTTTCTTCTTTCCCTCTCTAGCAGCTTTGGGCATTTTTGCTTACCTTTGAAATAGGCACACTGGTCTGGATCCAAGGAAGCATAACTTTTTCCACTTCCCGATTGGCCTGTGTCCAGATCACACACACTTTGTCTCAAAGGGAGAAACCTGAAGGAAAAAGAGACAAAAATTATGGTACAAGTTGGCAGGAGAGGGCAAAGCGAGACTGAGAGAAGGATGAAGAGGAAAAGAAGGCAGAAGGGAGCAGAGGGAGGAGTGTTGGAAGTGTCCGACTGAGAAGCAGAGGAGAGGGAGGAGTTGAAAACTTCAGAAGGCAAAGCAAGGGCAGCAGTGACAACTCAGGGGATCTAATTTGATTTAGGAGAGGGAGGAGTTTGGGCAGGTTGTAAGTATGGGGAGAAGTGAAAGCAGGAGAGACATCCTGAGGATGGGTCAGTTAAGGGGGAGTTGGGGGCATGCTATGAGAGCAGTAAAGGCTTTTAAAGTAACTTTGGCCATTTGCTGTTGCGATAACAGAAGTTTTATCTGTTTTGGTTTGATGTTATCTTTGAGCCACAAGGAATTTATATTGGCCAAGAGACAGCAGCAGTCCCAGACATCCCAGAGGATGGTAAGAACACAGTAGTCCTTGAGGGAAACCTATTGTGGGCGAATGGCTTTCAACAATGGAAACAAAACAGGAGCTCCCAGAAAGAGAGAAGGCTCACCTGGAAGGATCAGAGCTGGCTGCTGGTGGATGAGGGCTGGCAACAGCAAATGTCCAAGCAAAGAAAAAGGGCTTGCTGGCAGGGGGACCCAGACCAAGGGAGAGAAAGTCCCCAATCTCAGTAGGGCCACACAGCCTGCCCAATCTGAGTCACAGCATCAAAATGTTAGGTTTTTGTTTTGTTTTATTTTGGTGCAGTAAAAAGACAGGAAAGATAAAAACAGGCCTTTATTACAGGTGTGGGGAAGACCACAAGAAAGGAGAGATGTAGAACTTCCGAGGGCCTGCCTGGGTGAACAAAGAGTATACAGGATCAGGATGAAAGTGGAGTTTGGGGGCGATCTTTGTGATGTGGCAGATTGTGACTGGGCAGGAGGCAGGAACAAGGAAACAGGATATTGTGAAAAGGAAGTAGGAAGTTGTAATTGACCATGGAGGAGGAAGGCAGAGCGTAGCACATGGCCTCTGGGGGCCTGTGCCATGTCGGCTTTCCTTCGTGATGACTTGGCACCATTTTTATTAAGTCAGAGAAAACCCATCAATCATCATATTCTATGCTCCTTTCACCACACTTTAAATGCTCTCTCTTTCTTTGATTCAGTAAATAAAGTGACAAAAGTGTTTTGTTTTTTTTTTTTCCCCCTGAAAGCAGGTGATGGTCTTTATGAATTTCTCCTATGAGGTCTGTATTCTGGGAGATGAGATTGACTTTCCTACTCTTCCTGCTCTCTTGTTTTTCTTTTATTTATTTTTAATGGAAAATTTTCTCAATAGTGTACATTTTTGTTATTAAAATATATTTATATTATTTTACTGTGATTTGTTAGTCTGTGGGGAGTTGATCTCAGAGATGCTATCTTAAAATTCTTGCCAAGTTACTTTTGCTTACAGATTACATTGTGTTAGAGTTAGTCCTTATAAAAACATTGTTGAAGAAGAGCCAGCTTAGGGAATCCTTCATTCATTCTGTCCAATTTACTGAGACTTTATTGAGTTGGAATTCCCTTAAGTACATGATTGCTTTTTACATGGGTCTTTCTCAATTGCGACCCATTAGAATCAGTCCGAAGAAGATCAGACTATTCCATGTAAATATTCTCATTGTTAATTATTTTAGATTTCACTTCAGGATTTTTCTAATATTTTTGTGGTACTGATGTAGGTAGATGCAGTGGATAAAAATATTATAGGCAGTGAGTCAGGGCTGGGGCCTCAGAGGAACCAATGTAGATGGTGGGATACCCAGCAAATGGAGGGACAGGAACCTCAGATGTGGGGTCACATTGAAGACAAAAATGAAACAAATGCGCCCACTTACTTCTCTAGGGCTACATATCAGGGATTGATATTTTCAATAGCTATTGACCAGAATGAAACAGAAAGAGTCACTAACCAACCCCATAGGAAAAGCCTCTGTCCTGTATTCATGCCCACTTGGTATGTGACTCACTTCACCATTTGATACTGATTTAATCAATTTTACTTGAGCAATTATAATTGTCATCTTATTGGCTGACCATGGTTCTGTCCTGCCTCATGCCCATCTTGTGAGTTCCTGCGTTTCCCTCCTTGGACTTCACCTCAGGGATTTACTCCTTAAAAATCCCTAGAAAAGACAAGTTCTTTGGCAACCTGCTCCGTCTCCTTCTGCTCCTCTCTCCCTCTCTCAGGGTGAAGCTTTCTTTCCCCCAAGGAATATATTTTATTCTTAACCTCGTTTGTTCCTGAAATTCATCCTTTAATTTTAGAGAACATGAATTTATCCCAGATAACTTTCACGTTGGGAGTCCCCCCCACCATATCAGTATTATTTTATCATGTAGAATTTACAAAGTAAAATGTGAATGTCTGGGGCACAGTTTTAATTTCATTTTACATTAAGAAAAAATTCCTACTTTGATATAATTTTTAAAATGTCATATGTATTTATTTGTGTTTAAAGAGCACAAGATTGCTGTGAATATGACTTTATTAACCTTGTTCTAGTTTATTCTGCCTTGCAAAAATAAGACTGCAAGCCAGAAATAATTTCAGTGTTTATCACAGATATTCATATTGATCAATTTTAGCAAGGACAATAGTCTGCTCATCTAGAGAAACAGTTTGCTGATTAAATAAAAGCTTAGCAAGGTTCATTTGAAGGCATTCACATTACAGTATTGACTAAATTTAAGCCATTATATCACAAAGTTTGCTCAGTTCTAACCGATGTCATGCTCAAAACTTTTGCCTTAAGCACTTAGGTCTCAGAGACTCTTCTAATTTTTGTAATTTTTATTTTTTTTAAAGATAGAGTAATATGTAATTAAGGTGGGCCTATGGTCCCCAGGCTGGCCTCAAGCTCACACTGGCCCTTCTGCATCAGCTTCCAGAATGCTGGGATTATAGACATTCTGAACTTTGATGTGAAAATAAAATATAAAAAAACACTTTTGGAGCTATTTCTAAACAGAACCTATCTCTACTCTTAATGGAATATATTATACATAGATAGTAGGAAATAATTCTGTTTTCTAGGATATGACATTTTTATTTTTGGAAAATTACTAGTTTGTGAAGGGAAAAGCACAACACTACAAATAGTGTGACATCTTTTGTTTCCAAAGACTGCTGATACACTAGAGCAATATGTGAGTAACAACATAAGGGAGAGAGTTCAAGGTGTGCTTGGGGGAAGGTTGGGGCTATAATCCTGAAGTTATCTTAGGTAAGTATGGCGGTCAATCTCTACCAGTGAGGATTCGAGAGGCAATGGGAAATGAAATAAATTGGGTTTTATCCTATTAGTAGGACAAGAATATAGGAAATATTCACCATAGACTAGTCAGTGTTTCGTTGGCAGAAGACACTGAGGCATGTCTTCACATGTAGTTCTCATCATCTCCTCGAAGGACCTTATTTTCTGCTTAGTCTGCTTTGGCTTTAAAATTCTGTTAGGGGCCTCATCTTGCAGCTATTAATACTTTAAATTTTGTTCTCCTTTTTCATTTCGTATAATTATTTTTTCATCTGTTTATTTTCAATTTTTCATGCTTATATCTGGTGATCT